GATTGGTAACTCTAAATTGTCCCTAGGTGTGAGTGAGAGAGTGAATGGTTGTTTGTCTCTATGTGGCCCTGTAATGGACGTGCGACCTGTCCAGGTTGTACCCCACCTCTCGCACAGTGATAGCTGGACATGGGCACTAGTGACCTCCACGACCCAAAATGAATGAAGCAGGTAAAGATAATGGATGGATGGATGGATGTTATTTGTAAGTAATGTTGTCTCAAAGTTGTTAAACCTTCAAACAGAGATGTAAAAAATGCAATAAAATCAAAGAAACTGCACATGTTGAAAGGTCATAGACAGATGAGTAGGCAGCACAGGCACAGCTAATCCTGTTAGGGACTCTCTTGGGTTTGGCTACCAGGGGCAATCTGATGTGTAACAGAGTCATAAAGTCATTACAGTATTTTTTGTTTTCCTGTAGCAAACAAACCACAGCTGAATTAACTGTCTGTTGAAATCTAACATCAGCACTGGGGTAAAGCTGACAACAAGCTGAGAGGAAAGACGTGGACTTGGCTGGACACAGGTGGACATACGAGAAGCTCAGAAGGCAAATAGACACATGCACTGTGCATGTATGGGTTGTGTCTTGTTTATAGACCGTGTTGTGTTTTTTTTTTGTTTGTTTTTTTCCCCTCAGGACTAAAACATACATGCATAATGCCACTGATGCAGCATTGTGTTGTGGTATTAGGGTTATTTGCATCATGAGTCAAGATGTCTTGAATTTATACCCTAACACTCTACAGTGCCACATATGACACTGGTGTTGTGTTTCCAGAACATTGGTCCTTTCACAGTGTTCATCAGTGATAATGCAGATGGACCATTTATTACTGAGCAAGTCCAATAAGTGTGTGTGGATGGCAGATTTAAATGTCATACAGTTGCGTAATGCTTGGCGAACAATATAGTGATGCTTCATTTGCACGGTACATCCCTCATGCCAAGTAAAAGTACAATAAAACCGCTTGGTTTAAAAAAAATAAAAATCTACAAAACATCCCTTATTAAATTTTAGGTTCTGGTATTACCTGTACCTTTGATAGGAATAATAATAAAAAACATTCACCTCAGATAATTTTTTCAGGCGTTTACTCTTGTTGATTGACATAGTACTTACCTTGTTGCTGTATGTTCAACTGTTAAAATTTCTCATTTTTTTTAGCTTTAGTTAGGTATGGCATACCTAAAGGAAAAGTCATAAAAACATGATTGTGTGTGGGGTAGTAGAACTGGTAAAACACTACATCCCTACTGCACAGACTTTGGTTCCAAATATTCAAGGATTCAAGGCTCTTTATTTGTCATACGTACATGTGGTGGAATGAAATTGTGTACACGAGGTCCCAGTTACATCCAACAAAAGTATAAAACGTAAAAGAAAAACAGTAACACGATCTAAGATATGAACTAAGAAAAATGTTAACTAGAAATACGCTAAGCACTAGTAGTACAAAAATATGCCCAACAGCAGCACATATTGTTTTTGTATAATAATATACTGTACAACATAAAACAAGATGTCCTTGCTTTAATTATCAAAATTGAAAGAATGTACAATAGAAATAGGGTATATTATAGTCAAACACAGTCATTGTTTTAAAGCCATACACCTTTTGTCATCCTGTGGTCCCCCAGGCAATTTTGTTTAAACATCCCATTTGTGCTTATATTAGTTTCTCTCTATGCTTCCATGCTTGTGGAATGTGTAGGACTTCCCTGTGTGTGGTTGTGTTGGCATGGAAACAGGAATGGTATTGTTATGTGTGTTTTGAATTTTTTCACCTCGGTCCCTGAAGCTCCACAGTAAGGAAAGCCTAACACCACCCCTCCCCCCTTACTACACACGAGAGGAGAGGGGTAGAATCTCTCCAGAGCTCAGAAAACGCATGCACATAAAACTCTTCAACTTTATTGCTGCTGTAAAATGAAAATAAACTATATGCTAAAAAAATCACACACTAAATATTACTAAACCCTCAAAACATGTTCTCGTCACTTTACAGTACACACGTACCCCCTACCCCCCACATGCATGCATATATGTATATATAAAAATATATATATATATATACATACACACAGAGTGTGTGTGTATACGTATGTATGTATGTACACATTCATACAGTATATATACATACATACACACATGCATACAGTATATATACATACATATACACATGCATACAGTTTATATACATACATACACACATGCATACAGTATATATACATACATACATACATACATACATACATACATACATACATACATACATACATTTCCAGCTTTTGCAATGAACTTTTGACAATATCCCGTCAGATTTGTTCTGTCTCAAACTTGTCCTAAACACCAACAAAACCAAAGGGATGTTATTTTCAAACAGGAAGTTGGTGTTAGGATAATTTAATATTATCCCTTCCACTGATTAAATAAATATGCCACACAAGAAGGAGCAGATATTTTTCTTTACCCCAGGTTTAATCTTGAAAGATGGAACAGCGTTGAAAAACAAGCAGGCAATATGTTTACATGTCTCTTCTTCTCCAAGTCTGCTCAAAGAGAGCATAAAGAAATGTCTTTTTATAATGTTATCAGAGGTGCTGCCTTCCAGAGGGCCTTGAGTTTATCAGTTGAAAAGCTCCATGCTTCAGCTTCACTCTGTCCAGACAAAACATCTCTTAACACACACACACATGGTAATCAGATAAATAACATTGGACTTCAGTAGGTGAAAAACATCTGTGACCTTTCAAATCTCCATCAGTCGTCCCATCAGTTCTTCCCTTGATTTTATCTTCGAATGGTGCTCCTATTGAGTTTGTCAATTCTTACAAATATTGGGGTATCTTGGTCGATTCGCATCTCTCTTTTAAGCTCCACGTGGAAAACTTGGTAAGGAAACTGAAAGTTAATTTTTATTTATTTTTTTGTAACTGCAACTTTCCTTCCCTCCATTGACTACGGTGACATTATTTACATTGATAGATCATTTCTACCTTAAATAACCAAACAGACAACACAGTGTAAGGTCACAACCAAGCTTTTGCAAAAGGGGAGCCACAGCTTAAAACTAAAAGAGCTGACAGCTGAAGACTCCGAAGACCTCTTGTTTGGGCTTGCTTTTTTTATTGACAGCAGGGATGGGGGGTTGAGGAGTGTGAAAAACAAGATAAGACAAAGGCTTGTTCACGAAACTTGGCAGGTTCCCCTTTAATCATGGAGGAGCATCTTGACCTGGAACATTCTGTGGTTTTACAAAAATCAGTTCTCAGAAACTGCTGCATGGGTAAACTTTATCAGTTCCTGTCAGTTGGTTTAACTTAGCAAGTGCACAACTTTAAGGTCAAACAGGCACTCTAAGACAAAGAGTGATAAAGTTTATGATACGAAAACCCTAACATACATGAACGCCCCTACAAGCACCCTGCAGATGTTGGACGTTGTCTATCATGGTGCACTAAGATTTATAACTGGCTGTAACTACCGTACCTACCACTGCACCCTGTATTCACTGGTTAAGTGGTCATCATTAACTTTACGTAGACTCTTTCACTTGTACATTTTCATCTTTTTCATCTGTTGCCTTCTTATATCTCCTCCTACATGTCACTGTGTGAGTGCAGCTACAGCGTGCGCTCTCAGGACATTATCACCTGCAGTGTTCCCTCAGTGAGGACTGAACTAGGCAAAAGGGACTTCTACTCCGCCCGTTTCCTGGAATATCTTACAAAAAGATCTGAAGCTCTCGACCTTGACCTCTCCAAGTGGCTTCAAACAGCTGCTAAGTTCATGGCAAAAACCAATGCAGACATGTTCCTGTTTTAGTTTTCTACAATCTGTTTTTGTTTAGTTTTTTTTTTTTAATTATCATTTTCTTTCATTTATTCTTCTCAATTTATATGCTTTCTTTTATGATTGTCTACTGTTGTCATCACTCTTTGTTAAAAACAGGTCTTTCGTAAATGAGTCCCTGAGGCTGAATGAGATGAACCTGTATAAATAAAGGTTGAATAAATATGATTTTTTTGTTTGATTTGTTTAACTGGGTTCTTTTATCTACCTTGAGTCCTTTATGAAAATCTGATGATGTTTTAGGTCATTTATGCAGAAATAAAGAAAAAATAAAGAAAATTATAAAGTGTTCACAAACTTTAAAGCACCTGTGTGTGTGGGGGTGTGGGGGGGGGGGGGTGCATTTGTATGTTTTTCATAAACAGATATAGCCAGAAGTCAGCAATCGGTGAATAAAGCAGTTTTTTTTTTCTTTTTTTATATATAATATCAGCTTGATATCTCCATCTAGTGGTATCACAAGTATACACCAAAAGCCACCTGCATTTCATTTTCATCTTAATAAAATGACAAATCCATGTGACAAGTTGTCACATTTACTTTTATTGTAAAGGTAATATTCAAAATATTAATATGTTAGAGGGTCAGCAATGAAGAAACAGACAAACATACATCTAGAAAACGGTTACACAAGACTTTGGTAAGAATTTGAGCACATTCTAAAAAATATATATAAAATAGAAACACACAAAAACAACACTTTTTTTTTTTTGTTTAACAATGTTTCAAACCATAAAGATGTCAGTCTTGTTGCATTTATCTGGTCAATATTTTAGTGGCATACAAAAAGATAACAGAACATTACTCTATGATTCCTACAAACAACTGAAAGTGAAGGCATATAAAACATTGGAATTGTTGGCCCCCTGTGCTTCAAGGTCTGGAATATATTTAACAAATTATAGACAACACAAGATTTAATAGTTCTTTTTCTGATCAGTTTATCAGTTCATCATTCATAATTACATTTCTCAACACTTATTATACAACAAGTTTACAGTAACATTGCAAAAGATTTATATGTTGGTCAGCGCTAGATTAAAAGCACAGCAGGTTCAACCAAATTCGAATCCAGAGTTTTTCAAAGAGATTAAAAAGTTCATTTTCTTTTAACAGCTGACCTGAGCTCTGGATTTGCCCCATGATGATAAAAAAAAGGTATAATTTCAGCCCTAAACAGAGTGCATTGGATCATTGTGCGACAGTATGCCTTGTTCTGTTCCCAGTCCCACTGTCAATTCAACTTCCAGCTCTCTTCTTGTCAACCACCCTGTTTGCTATCGACTTCCTAGCAGGGGTGGACGTTACATGCCCTGATCTCCTTTCTGTCCTTGCAGCTGGACAGCTGGACAGTCTTAAACTTCTGCTTTACTGACATGAGTCGTTCTTGAATACCTCCACCGCATAGTTTGGTGCAATCTGTCCAGCTTGACCATGGTCTCATTCTACACCCTGAAGGTACAAAGAAAACAAAGAAAAAAGGTTTACAATAAGGACTATCTGTATTTCTTAAGGCAGCTGTGTGTTTTGAACTTCTGCTGTACAGTATTTCACTTGCAGGAGTGTCGATACCAACCTGGGTGCTCAGTGTTGCCCTCAGCCCTGCCTTGTTTGCTCCTTCGTTTTTCACGCTGTTCCTTGCGTCGTCTCTTCTCTTCACTATTGCCTTGCCCTCTACTGCACTTTCTAATCTTACATTTCTTCCTCTGGATAGTTTCCAAACAGGGGTCTCCTCCAAACTGGGGCTCCATCATCACAATGCGAGTCCGAATTGTGTGACCTTTCCCACAGGATTTGTTGCACTCAGACCACTCCGTCCACTCAGACATGTCACAGTCTACGGCTGAGGACAGAGACGGGTACAAAGGAAGACAAGAAACAATGACGTGTGTTTTCAAGTAATTTATAGCACAGAATCATAAACATTTTAATCTTGTTTTTTAATAATATACAGTATATTTGGTACTCCGGTTTCCTCACACAGACCAAAAACATGCATGTTAGGCTGCCTTCAGGCCCAGGCCTCCCTTGCAAAAGAGATCTGTGATCTCAGTGGCATTTGCCTTGTAAAGGTTAATAAATAAACAATATTTGAAGCAATTCAAACCAGATCATATATCCTAGAAATGGTTTTATTTTATTAATAATGACACCAATATTTACCAAATTGCAAAGAGGCAGGATTTGATAGAGGAGCTATCTAAACAAAATAGAGGGCTTGTAAGCAGACTACAAAACATGCATAAAGAAAACGGGTTTCATAACAAAAGTTCAAATTACTTTTAAGTACCAAACATTTTTTTGTGCATATAATTAATTGTTTTAATTGTGGGTTTGCAGATGAGAAAATGTCTAACTTACGACACTCAGGCAGCATGCACTTCTCCACCTGTTCCACATCTTCATTACAGTCTCCCAGCTCTGCAGGTGATTTGAACATGCGCTGTCGTGTCCTCAGACCCTTCCCGCATGTCACGCTGCAGTCACTCCACTCTGACCATGGAGTCAGCAAGCATGGGATTGTATCTGCTCATAACAGAATTCACCCAGTAAGATGTACGTCTGTTGTTAAGATTTGTAACTAATACAGTAATACAAAAATAAAATAAGTATCACGGAGAAAATATACAATAATCAGTTGCTGTATTTTCTTCCTGGGCCTTATTTTCTCCAGATGTATAGTATAAAATAATTTGAGACCGTTAAAGTACATAAACCATTGTTACTCACGACATTCCGGCATCATGCACTTCTCCACTTGTAAAACCTCTGTGCCACAAATGGAGCCATCTGCAGGAGGCATCTTCACCAAGCGCTCTCTCCTCTTCATGCCAAGACCACAAGTAGCACTACACGGGTCCCATTCACCCCACTCTGTAACCAGACAACTGCTGGGAGCTACGGTCAAGAAGAGAACACAAAGTAAAGTTAAAAGTAATTAAATAAAAACATACAAACTATGCATTTTTTATTAATGGAAGCGTTGTAAATAGACAAGCCCAAAACTCACAGCAGTCCTCGTTAACCACACAGTCTTCAGTCTCTTGGGTGGGCACAGTGCACACTGAACCTTCATCAGGGAACTGTTTCACATAACGTTCCCTGGAACGAGTGCCTGCCCCACAGGAAATACTACACGGCGACCATGTAATCCACTCTGACATCATGCAGGTGGAAGGATCTTAATAGAACAAGAAGAAACACAAAAATGTCACCAAATCCATACAACATTTTGGAATAAGAAACAATATTTGTTGACGGGGATAGAATAAAACATATTGTACTGAAATAACACTAAAAGCATACAAAATATATATTTTTTAATACAGTGTATTTAAAAAGAACAATCAAAGCTTTTTAACTGAATCTTATTAAAACGGATAATTACCTCCGAGTACAAATTAGTACTGTCATTATTTTTTTTCCTGCAGTTCTACGTTAAAACATCTGGCAAAATTAAAGATGCTGTTTCGATTTGCATGGTTTGAATGAGTTTAGGTGCATTTAAAGCTATGAAAACATATAATGTGTGCATGTCATAAGGTTAAAAATCCCCTATTACTATTCAACTCAGAAATGTTTATATCAGACAATAAAAAATCTAAATAAACTGGCGCATAAGGGCAATGTCATGTTTGTGGAATGGATAGAAACAACTTTGTACAGTTATCTGAACCATCCCAACATTTACATATGACAGCCATGTAATATATGTCACTCATTCATATAATAATTTTTCCTCAATCTACAAAGTAATAGATTAGAGGTTAAGCTTAGTTTCTTGTTCAGGCTTGAACATGTATTGTACTCTTGTGCTCTGAAAGGCATGTATAAAACTGTACATATTTTTAATTAAAATTTTATGTTAAATGTAGTAGATTAACCTTGGTAAAAGCTTTGAAACATGTTATAAAAAAACTTCATGCATAAAAGAGGATTAATAGAAAAGCATGTATGGGCAACAAAATAAAGTCACCATTGTTTTGAATGCTGCAAGTTTTTGTTATTGATTAATTGTGGTCTGTACATGTGGGACAGAAAAAAATGCTCACAAAACTATTGAAAACAAACAAAACAAACCTTTTGACTTTATTGTTAATTAAAACTGCACATATAATGACTCTATTTTTATTTAAATCATACTTAAATGTCATTCTCATTTTATTTAACTGCATTGTTTAAATAACTGTGTGTGGGGGTGTGGGGGGGGTTAACATTTGGGTATAGAATAATGAAAAATAAAATGCGTATTTAAATGCCAGATGTAAATTTAGAAAGCAAATATGCTCTGAAAATTGATACTGATGGTTTTCTCTGTCAACAAAATGTGCTTTTGTTTTTTTATAAACAACACACAGATGATTTATAACACACAGGTGATTTATGAGAAGACATTCTGTACACATTTCATCAGAGGGTTAAATTAGTCTTAGTTCAAAACAAAGAAACGCTTTGTTGGTACTTAGAATGAAGATTCTGTTTAAGTCAACCATGTTCACTGAGTTCTTGGAAATCAATAAAACACCATCTGTAAACTGTATTTAAAACAACATAATGTCACTGGCAACATGACATTGATGCTAAATGCTGTCACCAATGGACTACTTTAAGATGTTCAAGCTGAAGAGTTTAATGTTCAACACTGAATAACAGTTATTGAAAACAAATACACTTTCACCATTGATATTTGTCAAAAATGCTGAGTTTTTCAATTATCATCATATAGCACGTCTGTTTTTCAGCTAACAAACTGCCCTTTAGTTTTTAGAAAGATACCCACCTTCATCACTGCAGCCAGGCCCCATGCACGGCTCAAAGTCCTGAGTATGTGGACAGGGAACACTCAGGTCCAACTGAGCTTTCAGCATCCTCTGTCTCATTCGCTTACCCTTCTCACAAGTGGCTGAACTGCAGGCAGACCACGGAGACCAGTTGGAGTAGATACATGTTTCAGGAGTGTCATCTGCAACATGACAGAGAGAAGGGATGTTCTATGATGGTCTGCCACTAGTACGCATGATTTTAGAGAAAATAAGTACAAGGTTCTTACCTTCCTCCTTCTCCTCCTGGGCAATATCTGCTACAATGTCATCTACATTATCTGGCACAATGTTGCACTGTTCACCCTGAGGACACACAGAAACAGCAATTTTTGTACAGTAGTAAAAATGCTCTGTATGTTCCTGTACTGAATCCCAGTGTCATGCTCCCATAGCTGCCTCTAGATGCCACTGCAGGACTGCAACCTTTTTTATTTTGTTCTGTTTTGCCACTGGATTTCCTAAACTGTTTTACATCCCCATTAAAAAAGTCTAATTCAAAAACAGTTTGAATAAATGTATTTTGTATGACTTAATTTATGTACTTTATTACTTTGGAGTTCCTGGAAAAGTCATATCATGAGACATTTGAGGTATTTTATCATTTGCCATGCTTAATGTAGTGTGTCCCCCAAAAGTATTAAAGTGCAGTAGACTGAAACTATAATCACTTCAGGGTTTAAAATTTTACTTTTTAAAATGATAGCAATAAGAAAAACTGTAGAATAATTTCAGCTTTTGCTTTATGTATGCCTCCAAAACAATATATAAATACAGATTTTTAAATAGTTTGATCCTGGCAAAGATATTCATTTTACGCCCATTTGAATCCTTTGTGTATGCCACATCCTTCTCATCTTGCAGTAAGAAAGTTACACGTTTGGCACAGTTCCCATAGGTCAAAAACATGCATGTTAGTGTAACTAGTGACCCTAAATTGTCTGTGCTCTGTTGATTTTTATGAGGGTCTTAAATTTGTCATCATTTAAAATATTGTACTTTGATTGTACAAAGATCTAGTGAGTGAGTGATCCACTGAAAGATAGTCAACAAATGTACTTTAAAAAGCCTCTGAGCAAGTTTGAATGATGCTTTGAATCAATTACAGTCTGCACCATTTAATGTACCTCGAGTCAGTTTTGCTATATGTTGCTACATGTAAGCCAACATTACATCTGTACACGGAAGAATTTGTCACTTTTAAATAAACACTTGTGACCCAGTGGAACTGGAGGCTAAGTGATCAGTGCCATCACTCTGTCTCTGCAGGTTTTATAGAAAAGGAAGAAGTGGGTAAAGATAATGGATGAATGGATGGATGAATGTTGAATTTTGTGAATCATGAGGCATTTTGTGTTTTTTCCATGTTATTTATTGTTCCTTTGATCAATTTGAACTGACTTGGATCTTAGGTCTATCTGTCAAAATGTTTTTTATGGAACTGGTACATGTTATAAAAGTGGTATTTGGTTTAATTTTATCTGACCCTTTGGCTCATAAATTTTGAAACTGTGTGCATTTTGTGGCATACCTAACTTATTATTATTATTAATATTATTATTATTATTAGAGTCCATCCGATATGGAAATTTTGGCTATCATCCGATAATGGGAGGTGCAGGTTGGTGCCAACGAGTGATATAATGGCTGGAAATTTTTGAGCATTGTCCACCCCCAAGAATCTAAGTAAACAGCTACTTTTAAACCTGTTTTAACACTTGAAGTTATGAGTCTTCCTAACATGCATTCACATTTTCTATCGTCCACGCTTCACTATTAAGTGTGTCACAAAAATATAAATTAAACAAAAAAGTCCTTCCCTGTTCATTGTTTAAACAGTCAGCCACGTATGGTGAAGTCCTAATAAGTATTGACCGCAGCAGTGTTTATATATATATTTTTTTCTTTGCAGAGAAGCAAAGCTTTCAGATAAACAATGCATTTTATTGAGGATGACAAAGATAACATTACGAACTATATTTTACCTCTATGTTAAATTTATTGTTCTGGGTAATGCTTTACAAAGCAATAGCCTATGCTAGGTTATATAAATATTAGCTTGCTAATTTGAGAGGCTAATGACAAGCAGGTTGGAGGATTGAAGATAATTTATTATTGTTGTTGTTTTACAGATCAGTTACAATAAACTTACCTTGCTTTGTTCAGCTAAATATGCTACACAGTATTGTTCCCTGCTTTGGCTGTGCTGAAAGTGAAACTGAAACTTAATGTAGAAGGCCATGACTTGAAAGTAGTCTTCATGCGCCCTTTGCTGAATACATTGTACATTTACGGCTCGTTCCATACATTTTAGGAGTAAAAATTAGAAGTGTTTATATCGGCGCATAATGGGCCAATTATCACTGATACCGATATGTCCCCAAATGCCTATGTCTAAAATAATGGCCCCGCCAATATATCGGTTGGGATGTACTTATTATTGTATTTTTGCAGCATGATGATGTTTTGTTGTTTGATATCTGCTGAGACCTCATTTGTCTTTATGTTCAGAGTATGAAGCAATGACTTCAAAATTTGAACACAATAGATGTGTGTGATAACCTGGAGATAGTCTAAAAAATTATGTGTGGCAGCAAGCTTTTTTCTCATACTGTAATAACTTGTCAAGTGTTATTGAGATAATTTGAGTTAAAAATGTTCACAATTGCACATCCAAAAGGATACATCCTGCAAAATAAATTAATAAATGAATGAATAAAATCCAGCTTTGTTAAAAAAAAAAAAAAAAAAAAGAATATGTAACAAAAACATGTGCAGGGCCTCATTGGAAAACTTAGCTTTAGTACTGAAACGGTGGTATTTTGATGAAAGGATATTTATTTCTAAATAGAAGAAATGCATGAATCCTTACCATATGTAATTAAATATAGTATGTTGTTGCAACGTAACAAGTCGGCAATTACAAATAACCATTTTAATTTAGAATATTTTTTGCTGGTGGGAAGTCAAACACACCTTTCTGGCAATGCGTTCCACCACAACCCTGGCCACAGGAGTGATGGCGCCTCCCTCAGGGTCATAAAATGGGCTTTGAGGATGATCCAGACTGGTCAAGGGATGGATCTTGTCCTGGGGCACTGAAGGCTTGTTGGGAGACTAAAGCAAACAAAAATAAAGTTATTAACACAATAAGTATTTATTTTTACTGTGCTTTAAGTATTACTTTTTGCTCTTTATATTGTTGCTATTGTTGGGTGTAACTGGGACCCTGCGAACATAATTTCGTTCCACCTCATGTACCACATGTGATGAGAATGACAACAAAATTGACTTGAACTTGAAGTATGAAAATGTTAGAAAACGTGTGCAGCATGAAGCAATGGATCACACAGTCCGATTTTTGTTTTGTTTGGTTGTTTATTAGTTTTTAACAGACTTGTACCAGATATTCAAAATGACAAAACATATGTCCTGCTAAGTAGAGTTTTCAAAGTCAAAGAACGGCTGCAGAGAAGTTCTGTACTTTACAGGGGAGATTTTCTTATTAGTCAACAGTAAAGGTCTACCAGCATGGGGCTGATAGAAGCAATGCCAGAGGCAATCCAGAGGCAGAAGACCAGCCCATTCTTCACCCCCCAACCGAGACCACTCAGAGAGGAAAAAAAAAAGAGAGAAACTGCAGCATGTTTTCACTGTGTGTAACAGGGAAAGATAGAGAGCAAGGACAGTGAGTGGCCACTGACTAAATGAAACAGTACAAGTAATGGCACAAAGGGTAGATCTCATTACTCTGTTACAGGCCTGTGCTTTTAATGACTTTGTCCCTGAGAGTCAACGTCTCCACACTTTGTAATGACGAGTTTCCTTGTCTTCTGCTTTATTCAACAATTTTTGGATACAAGTTATTTTATTTTATTAATTTATTTTATTTTAAATTGTATGTATGGATATGAGTGATGTTAATCAGACAATCAAAGCAGAAACATAAGGGAGTACAGACAGGAGAAGGTCCACTAGATGGCGCCATCCCTACAGTGCCCCTCCCCCATCAAGGATGCCCCCTGGAGTCCCCAAGAACAACCCCCCCCCCCCCCCATTCACTCTCTCACTCACACCTAGGGACAATTTAGAGTTATCAGTCAGCCTAACATGCATGTTTTTGGTCTGTGGGAGGAAACCGGAGTACCCGGAGAAAACCCACGCATGCACAGAGAGAACATGCAGGCTCCACCCAGAGGGGCCCCCGGACCGGGGTTTGAGCCAGGGACCTGCTTGCTGAGAGGCAGCAGCTCTACCAGTTGTGCCACCGTGCTGCCTGACAGCTAGTGAAACTAATTTATCATTTAGCGGATTATCGTTGTTGCTGACTTTGGAAACCTAGTGAAATTAGCTTCCACTAAATTAGCGTTCACCATCTTTAAATCCACTTAACTTTCACAAGCTTGTTATTGTCTGTCGTGGACATGTCTCGAAGAGTCCGTTAGGCACACTGTTGGCTTACTGTGTGTACATGTGACAAGATGTGATTTGTCGAATATGGGTTAGCACAGGTGACATTTTGGTTAGCTGTACCCGCCACTGCTATGTATTATAGACACAATTCAATGCAGTTATTTTTCAGTTTATTTATTTAGCGCCAAGTCACAACAGAGGTTATCTCAGGGCACTGAACAAAAACATTCACTTACATTATAGATGCCATTTAGTAAAGTTATCTACCAAAGGAAGAAAGGATGCCAGCAGGCATGCTGAGTCATGGAGCTGAATATGCTTGTCAGTCCAAAGAGCCAGAGTGATTTAATTGTGTAAATGTAAAAGTCTTGAAGGACACCACAATGAAGGTGTTGACCCCTTCAAAAGAGATTCTAACAATGTTAAGTATCATTATTAGGGGTGTACTGGTACACGTGGATGTATTGAACCGCTTCGGTACGGCATGTTCGGTTCGGTCCACGTGTATACCGTTTCGGTTATTTTTTCACTCATTAAATTGTATTAACGAGAGATTATGTGCCACGGAACTAAAGTTCCTAAGCGTGTTTCATCATGGCACTATAGTCTTGCAGCATGCGTAGCATTAGCATTCTAGCATCTCGTTGATGTCTCTTGTTTGGGAACATTATGGGAACTGAGGAACAGCTTCTACCCTGAGGCTGTTAGACTCATGAATCTCTAACTAGAATAATCACTGTGAAAAACCATATCATGTTGCTGCTGATCTGTTTCATGTTGCTGCTGATCTGTTTCAATGTTGATGTGTTCATGCGTGCACATCTGCTCACAGACTCATGTTCATGTTTGTGGTGTTGTTCAATGTTTTATGTTATGAGTGCTTAGTGTATATTTAGTTGATGTTTTTCTTAGTTCATATCTTAGATGTTATTACTGTTTTTCTTATACATTTTATTGTTGGATGTAACTGGGACCCTGCGTACATAATTTCGCTCCACCACATGTACCACATGAGGTGCGAATGACAATAAAGAAACTCTGACTCTGACTCTGATTATGGCTTTCTTGTTAAAAGACAAGTGAACAAATCCAAAGCTGTGTGTCAACGTTGTTTCACAGAGATTGGATCTGCAGCAGGCAACACGTCTAACTTGTTAACGCGCTTGAAACAACAAAATCCGAATGTGAACATCTCTTCTACAGAATAGCTGCCCTGGTGCAATGACTGATAACAGCAGCATTTAAACAACCTTTATCAGGTAATTCAGATTGGTCCAAAGCAATAACACAATCTGTAGGAGTTTTTAAAGCTATGGATTTATGTCCATATTCTGTTGTTGCTGCACCGGTTTTAAAGTTATTGAACCCCGCTACAACATCATAGCAACACTTCAGCCAAAAAGTTGAAGCAGCACTTTATGAAAAAGCTAAAACTGATATTGTCAACAAGCCCTGGAGCCCAGATTTAAAACTCTGCCACATGATGATGAGTGAGAGCATATTCAACCACCTCATAACAAATGATGACCGTTCAAGAATAGGTATTGTCATTTTATTATTATTATCTAGTTAACTTTTTTTTTTTTTTTTTTTTTTTAATTATAGTCTCATTAACTCTTTTTTTTTTTTTTTTGACCTTTTTGTGTTTTATTTTCAGTCTGGGATAGAGATAGCAGCTGAGTCTTGTTCCTATTCAGGGAAATCCACCAGAGATCACCTCCAGTTAAGAAGTCTGTGATGACTGAACTCTGAACTTTTCCAGGGACAGATGGGAGCAGGTCCAAGAGGTTGTGAGTAATGAGGCCAAATACAGCCACACTGCAAAATTAGCAAAGCTCTACCTCTTTATTCCTGCTACCTGTTGCTAGTGAGAGGATTTTCTCAACCGCTGAGATAATGTCACTGCAACTAGATCTGAGCTTTTGGCAGAAAATGTGGACAAGTTGGTCTTTTTGGCCAAAAACTTAAAACTTTATTAGTTAGATTGTAAACGGTCTGATGCTCTTATTGTTCTGGTTCTGACTGTTATTGTATTTATTAAGATTTTTATTATTGTTAGTATAGTTCATTTATTGTAAAGAGTGCCATTTGTTTAAAATATCATCCAAATGGGTTGCTGTCATTTATTTTTATACAAACGTATTGTTTACTTAGTATATTTTCTAAATAAACATTTTGTAAGTTTTCATTTTGGTCTTTTTTGTACCGAAAATTAACCGGACCGAGTCCTCCTTGAAATTGAACTGAAACAAAAAGTGATTTTAGCGTTCCGTTACACCCCACATTATCATACATCTGACAATAGAAAAATTAGGTTCAAAATTAGTTTGATTCTGAGACTGTAAATTTGTGAATGAATCACTATTTATTTATTGTTTTACATGGTTTATTTATTTTTTTAACATTGATAAATGGCTAAATGAAGACATGTGCGCAAGTCACAATTTAACAGTTCTTCATTAAGTACAACTAGAACCAAGGACCACAAATACTGATTCATTAAAAAAAAAAAAAAAATCTAAATGAGAGTCTAAATAAATTTGTGTAAATTTCACAAAACACACAGGCTCATCTGTTAGTGCTGACTGGAGTTTAGAAATAGGTGCATGTGAGGGAGGGCAGTGGGGCAAAATTGTTGCTCATAGGAATGCACACGACAGTGACACTTTAGTTTTTGTAGCCTTGAAAGTTTACAAAAAGAAGAGGCAGTGGATCTAGTCAGGCAAGCTGAACAAAAAGAGTGGCAAATTTGTATTTAAAATTTGTATTTATATGTACGTGTGTATGTATGTATGTATGTATGTATGTATGTATGTATGTATGTATGTATGTATGTATGTATGTATGTATGTATGTATATATTAGCTTTTATGTATGTATTTACTTATTTAATGGGGGTGGGGGGTTACTCCAAAATTTACAGAGAATAGTCAAGTCTTACCCTAGTAAGGTTCTTGTCTCGTGATTTCAATTGTTTTCACATGCAAACATCACTCAGTTTTTTTTTTTTAACACTACCCTGCACAGCATCTGCCTGGCTAACAAGAACCATGTGGCATATTACAAACACCCCACGCAGGGATGTTCCAGTTTTTATTGCTTCCTGCTACCGATTTCACAGAACAGAAGCTGAGATCCGCCTACTGTGAAGAGGAAATAATTAATTTTACAATGTGGCACTGCCAAGTGTGTGTCCTCAAAGTCACTAGATTTCTTCCTAGGTGTGTTTAAAAAATTAAAGCCCATATTGGAGTTAAAAAAACAAACAACTCTAAATCCATGGAATCAAAGTTGAAAGCTCACAAGCACAGATCATGTCTACTACTTTAAACTAAAATACAAAAGAAAACACGCAATAAAACTCCTGAGTCCAAGAATTAAAATGTGGTTTCCAACACAGACATAAATACGTAGACGCCTCGTTACGTGCTGGAGTGCATCCTGCATCGCCGCCATTTGGGTTTCTCCTCTCTGTAAGAGCCAACGGGAGTAAACGCAAAGCGAGCAGCTATGCAGTAAGACTGAACAATAATTTTGTTTTTTTGACCATTTATAATATTATGTCATTGTAGCTAACATTATTTGGCAATCAACAAAATCCTAACAGGAGGAACTGGTACTCTCTCTCA